TCCCGCACCCGCCGCCCCCAAATGCCTGCTCCTCCCCGCCCGCCCCGTGCACACCCGTCCCGTCCCCCTCACGCGTGTGCCCTCCCGATCTGCCCCAAGAGCCGCTCCGGCAGGGCGAGCTGTCTGTTTCGGTGGTGATTTACAAGCCTGCTGGCAGCTTGTAACAAGTTGAGAACGCGGCGTATGTTCAGCCCTCTGCTGAAGCGATGTCTGTTTCACGGTTGCTATAAAAGGAAGGTTAAGCTCTCTGTCTACCGCCCTTGTTATTTAGAAGACCGTTTAAACGTCTGCTTAAGAGGACGTGGTTGTTAAAAGGTCTTAGTCTAGACAGCATGCTGTCGTCTGTCACACTGAAATCCTTCGAGTTTGAGTTGATGGTTTGGACACCGCTGTCCTCACTGAACTGAAATCACCAGGTCGCTTCATGTTAGCCAATGAATATTTTGTGATACTCCTATAAAACTTTACTCAAAGCTCAGGGGTTTTTTAATTATTATTATTTTACATGAAACATAGATTTTACTAAGAACTACCACGGTTGTGTATGTAAATAATGAGAGGTCTAGCTACTCACTTGACCGACTAATTCAACAGTTGCCAGTGGGAGTTATACAATGTAACTTCTGACACGGCAGATCCAGAGGAGAATTTCACTGTATGCTTTTACTAATCCTCGTCATCCTACTTGCTGCTGGAAAAAAAAAATGTTTGAATGCTATTCCCAGTCACTAGTCTTTTCATTCAATAATTTTGGGGGGGGGGGGGTTGTTTTATTTTTTTGGTTGCTGTGTGCCTCTTACGGCTGCAGCTTGTGAAAGCAGAGACTTTGGATTGCCACTTCAGGTAGGTTTTAGACCTATTTCTAGACAGGGCTCTGAACTATATAGTAGGATTTTATAAAACTCATTTGAAAGTCTATAGTAGCATAACAGTGGGTAACTGGAAATTATTTCTTTTCTTTTTTTAGTTCTAGTACTGATAGTGCATCTTACTTTGGTGAGTTACGTGCACAATAACATACCAAAATTTGAACGCTTGAGCACACCAATAGTCAAAAAGCAGCTATAATAGTTTCCCTGACTTCTGTTCTTAGTAGCTCTATTAAGCAGAAATTCAGAAAAAGCCTAATAATTGCTAAGGGTATATTTGTATTACCTTTCTTTACAATCTTTAAATGATGTCTCAGCTAGAGAGGCTTAACTTCAACTTGTTATGTTTGTTGCAGAGATTTTGCTTTTGGTAGGAAAAAGGTTTGTCATGTTAATGATAAATTGATTTCTGGTAAATTGACCTCTTAAACGTGTTTGGATGACATTTGCAGAGCTGTGATCTCGGACAGAGATCTGTGATCCTAAATAGATACTTCTGAAAATTCTACTTTTAGGATTAGAGCTTTTCTCAACTTCAAATTGCAAGGGAAAAATGAAGCTTGTTCAAAGCACTTACATTTAAATATTTTACCAATTGGATACAACACATTGATACTGTTTGCCCACTCAGAGAGTTATCATTTCAACAGATTAAGTAGAGTTGGCAGCTTCCTCAGCTAACAAACTTTAATTCATCAGCTGCAGGTCTTTTTCTACCACAAGCAGTATTTTCAGTGAACCTCTGTAGTCAGGCAGTGAAATTTCTCTTATTTCAGAAGGGCAATAGTCATGCAAACTTCACACCGATGATTTTAGTTTGTCAAATAAGGGAGAAAATGTGTTCAGGTGTTTGTTTTAGTTGAATATGCCGCGTTCCGTAGAACTTCCTGAAACAGTTTTCTCCTCCAGTTCTTTGGAACTCTTGGGAGAAGGTGCTTTTTTCCAATATGTAATGTAGTGTAAGTTAGTGTGAAGCAGGAAAGACTATATTACTTTGCTGAAATCTTATTTTTTCCAATACATGAGCTGCTATGCCAGCCTGGTCTTCTACATTAGATTATCTGCTCTAAGATTATTGGATTGTTCTTTTATTTTTGGTGGTTTTTTTTTTGTTTGAGTTTTCTTTATTGTTTTTCGTTACAGAAGTATTTCCATATGCATTCTAAAACCAGGGAAAAATTAAAACCCACAATGTAAGTAGAAGTATATCTAAAGGTTTTTTGTCAAGAGTTTTGCAGGTGCTGTCTGGCCAAATTGCAAGTGGAAATGATTAAAACAGCAATTCGATTTTCAAAATTCCAGGTATAGATAACTGAAGCATTGCAGTAGTAGCTATTTAAAATGGTTAAGCTGAACTGAAAGTATGAAATTGGACAGCTTGGATTTTTTGTTATATTCTGGAACTGCTTATCTTGAGGAGTTATGCTTTGGCTTTATACCTCCAGTATTAGACTCGGATTTTCAGAGATACCTTAGCGTATAACTTATCAAAATCAGTAGGGAATAGGCCTCGAGAATTTGGACCTTAGTTATATGCCTTTAATGCCCATCACTGCAATATTCTTTGTTTAGGCTTTGCTACAGCAGTCAATTTTTGGACTTTCCTTAGTTAAAACATAGTTAGACGAATGTAAGACCCAAATCTAAGTAAAAATCTGAGTGTTTAAATGCTAAAAAGACAGTGACCTCTATGAATCAAATAGAATATTTATAAGACAAGCTAATATCAAGGTTTATGAGGGCAAGAATTTTTAATGTAAAGGAAAGGGAAAGGATCCTCAAGGATTATGAAAATATGAAGGTGATTATATTCCAATATTGAATGATAAAATCGACAAATTCAAGAATACCTATGTCATATTTCAGCAGATTAATTCTTTAGCAAAACATTTAGCCTGCTACACAAATTTAAGCATAATAAAGACACCGTGAAATTACTGCATCTCATTTAAAAGCAAAGGTTTACATTTGAAATTAGGTTAAATTGTTAATGTATTGTCTTTATTGACCATTTAAGGTTGGCAAATACAGATTTTTGCATTAGGCACTGATGAATGCAAACAGTGCTCTGGCTCCCTTTCCAAGCTAACAAAGGGTATTAGTAGTAAATATTTAGCCAGTTATGTGAAGTTTTATTCTGTGTCAAGAAACAACTGTCTCTTGATGACATCTATATTACCTTGCACAGTCAAGCTACCATTTCTGTGCAATCGTAGTAGTGTTTCTACAGGCAGGTCAATGTAAAGTTGCCAGTGAGGTTGCTAACTTTGATTTAAAGAGGAGGTTAATTAGACTGTTGAAGTAACCTGCTGGTTACAGTTTGATAGCTGCTGTAAAGAGATTAAAATTTACAGTATTACAGTAGCACTCAACCTCTTGAATTTTTCACAGCCCAGACAGTCTTGCAGTGGAGCTGTGGATCTGTACAGAACAAATCAAGGGTATGGAAGATAGACCTAGGGTTTCTTGGTTATCTTTTGTGAAGCCCTTAGAAATTTCGGTCTGCAGAAACCGAGTTTCCACAGACTAGAGAGTGAAAAATGTTGCCTAAGTCTTATGAAAAAGCTCATCTTTAAGTAATAGCCCATGCTAACTGAAACTTGGGGCAAATGTAAGGAAAGTTGCTTAAGAGTCATATTTGTTGCACAAGTACTGCATGAGCAAAGTTATGCTAGAACCTTGGGGATTTTCATCAACATCACAGTCTCTCACTTTGCTTTTTTAATGTTGCTATTAAAACTACAAGTGGTTTTTATTTTACATGAATTGAGAAATGTAAGAGAGCTGGTTAAAATACAGTAGCAGGAAAATACCTTAAAACTCAAAATGATTGTCTCTAGTTTATTTTCTGGAAAACTGAGCAAACTTTTAGTTACATGTGTCCATTTCTCAATTTGGTTCCTAAAGTGAGAGCATCTAGCTACCTGAAAAAAGGCTTTATATCACATTTCAACAGCAGCAAATTAAAATTCAACTTAAAAGGCAGTTTCTCATTTTAAAATAAATTTTTAAACCAGCTATTCTTAAATGTTTCTGACCAGCTTTCTTTTTAATATGTTGGGGAGGGGTGGAATTGCATGATTTCTTTGATATTAGAAATTACCAGGAGAAATACAAGCAAATAGATAAGAGGTGATGTAACTGCCATTTATTTCCTTTCTTAAGAAATACAGGAACTTATTCTGTGAGCATGCCTGTCATAGGGTTTGTGCGGA